AAGATACTTTCCAGCATCACTCATCTCATTTCTGCTCACTTGATTATTGGTTTTTCCAAATCTTGCAACCACTCCATCCAGCCCTTCTCTTTCTGATGGTAAACTCTCACAGACTCCAAGTAACAAGGAAAGAGATCTAAAGTTGGGAGCTGTCAAGCTGTGTTTGAATCCCAGCTCTCCCTCCTAATTGCTGTGAGAATTTGGGCAAATAATTTAGTTGCTCTAAAAGTGTTTCTTCGTCTGTTTATTAATGTATAATACATTTGGAAACCTCTAACAGGTACTGTCACAGAACAGATGTAAGATAAAATTACACAATTAAATATTTTTAAATTATTTTTTAAATTTATAAGCTACAGTAAGAGTTTTTAGTACAGTATTTGTTTTGTTTGGTACAAATGATTCAGCTGATTACAAAATTATAATTACTATATATATCATAAGTTAATGGGTATCTTAAAAACACTGTCATTTTACGTCACACTGAGAATTCTGGTGACAGCAAGGAGTGACAAAGCTGGCACAGGACCCTAGCACTTCGGACTTCATCACCTCCTCCTCTTCTCCCCAGTAGCCTTAGCTACTGTAGATACACCCCAGTACTCCAGATGAATCAGTGTGTAATCAGAACCCAACTGTGCACCAGGGTCATGGCCTTTCCAAAAGTAGTTTTGGGACTTATGCAACTTAAGGTAAATGCCTGGGTGTTGGTGTCCCTAAAATTTAAGCCACATTCAGCAAGTTCCATGAAAGTTCTATGACATTAGAGATGGTGTCCCAAGAAGGAGCTCAGCTTGATGGTCCCTTCCTTGACAGCCAAATATAGTTAATGACATAAAACCAAGAACAAAACAACCTAGGTTTTGTGTTAACATCCAACTTTGTGATAGGTGTTACTGTTATGGTTTTTATTATGTAATGCATGGGGAGTAATAATCATCCCGTATGATGCTTAGTAAGTTCTTCTCACTAGGAACTCAGTCCGTTAGCAGAGAATAAGAGGAGCAAGGTAGCCTAGGAAAATATGAATTTTGGTATTAGGCCTAGGTTTGAATCCAACTATGCCTGAAAAGTTACTTAATCTTCTGGGAACATAGTTTCTTCAGGTGAACAAAGGAGAAAATACTGTGAATTAAAATAGGTAAAGTGTATTTTGATTACAATAAGCGGCCAAAACATGGCACCCATTGTTATAACAGTTTGCATACCTGTATGCTGTTAGTAATGTCATAACTGTAAATGCTGTCAAATTCCATCAAAGAAAGGCATCATCCTTGACAAGTATCACAAATGAAGTTCACGTAGGAACAAAGTTCCTTTATATAATCACCTTATCAATTGACTGCTACTCCCTTTTAAGAAGTTTCCAAACAGTTCCAGTGAAAACCAGGGGCAAATATTGTGCCCTGTGATCACAAGAATCTATATACAATGCAGTGAGCATGTGCATCCCATCATCTCTAACAAGCTTACCTTGTTTTATTAACCTCAACACTGAGATTTATGGGATTTTTTAGACCACCACCACAGCATCATAAAATAATTTTATCTTTGAATATCACCATTGTGATGATCTTTCGATGTGTCAATTTGTGTAGGCTGCATACCAGTTATTCCATCAAACACTAATCTAGGTGTTGCTGTGAAGGTGTTTTGTAGATAAGGTTAGAATCCATAATCAGTCCACATTAAGGAAGATTATCCTAGATAATCTGGTGGGCCTGATTCAGTCTGTTGAAAGGTCTTAGAGGCAGGACTGAGGCTTCTTTGAGGAAGAAGAAATTCCACTTGTGCGAGCAGCTTCAGTTTGTGCCTGTGGTTTCCAGCCTGCTCTCTCTGATGTCCCACCCCTCAGATCTCCGATTTGTCCAGCCAGCCCCACAGCCATGTAAGCCAATTCTTGCAACAGATCTCCTAATAAATGTCTTCTACTAGTCCTGCTTCTCTGATTAAACACTGATAGAGGTAGTAAATTTGTCTCTTTTCTTTTTGCTTTAAATCTGACTGCACTTTGATACTTAAGGTAGAAATTGCTCCTACAGGTTCTCTTTATTATGAATAAACTGAGTGGGGTAGATCATTTTCATGGTAGATGTGAAAATGCTTTTAGTTTAACATGTTCCTCTATTTTGCTGTCTCTTTCTTACCTTTTTGTTTCAGAAGAAACTGTTAAATATAGATTCAATGACAACCTTCTTTTGTAAATCAACCTTCTATTGTAACTCAAAATAAGAAATATATTTAGCCCTGGTTGGTGTGGTTCAGTGGATTGAGTGCTGGTCTGTGAACCAAAGGGTCACTTGTTTGGTTTCCAGCCAGGGCACATGCCTGGGTTGTGGGCCAGGTCCCTAGTAGGGGGCATGGGAGAGGTAACCACACATTGATGTTTCCCTTCATCTTTCTTTCTTCCTTCCCCTCTCTTTATTTATTTAAAATAAATAAAATCTTCATTTAAAAAAAGAAATATATTTAGCTATTACATATGAGTGAAAAAGGGAAAATAAAATTGCATGCCTGACTGGATAAAAAAAAAACTCTTATATACAAATAAATGTAATTTCCTATAAATTGAAAAGATTTTATTTTTAATTATATTTTATTCTTTGTCCTATTACAGTTGTCCCAGTTTTTTCCTCTTTGTCCCCCTCCACCTAGCCCTCCTCAGTCCCTCAGGCAATCCCCAAATCATTGTCCATGTGCATGGGTCATACATATGTTTTTGACTACTCTTACCTATGCTTGCTTTACATTCCCATGGCTATTCTGTAACTATCAATTTGTACTTCTTTCTTGGTCCCTTCACGTTTCTTGCCCATCCCCCAGCCCCCCAACACACACACATTCTGGCAACTATCAAATGTTCTCTGTATCTTTGAATGTTTCTGTTGTTTTTTAGAATCAATAGTTGATAGATGTATTTATTGCCATTTTATTGTTCACATTTCTGATCTTCTTAAAGAAGACCCTCTAACATTTCATTTAATACTGGTTTGGTGCTGATGAAGACTCTTTAATACTTATACCCTTAAAGAAGATCATTTAACATTTCATATAATACTGGTTTCATACAATACTCCTTTAGCTTTGTCTTGTGTGGGAAGCTTTTTAAATGCCCTTCAATTCTAAATGATAGCTTTGCTGGGTAGAGTAATAACTTCTGGCTGTAAAATCCAGTAAGAATTAAGGCTATGGAAGGCAGAAACTTCTGGCTTCTCAGGCAGAACCTCTTAAAGGGTCCACATACAGACTTACTCAGACTTGCTCCCACTGAGCTCCAGCATGGGGGTGGCAGATTGACAGGCAGCAGAGGCACACAAGAAGAGAATTGCCCGGCATCAGCACAAGAAGCATGGACAGCTTTCTCCCTGAGACAAGTGCTGGCACTGACCATTGTGCCTTTTCTGAGCCTTCCCTCCACAGAGTCATAGAGCTGGCAGGCGGGCATCATATCTGAGATTCCATCAACCTGACTCACACTGTTTACTCTACACTGGTGATTCCCTAAAGCCCTCCCCTACCTGACTTTCAGGCCCACCCAAGCTGTTTCCAGTGGCTTTTCCATATGAATGGCTTCTCCTGGCCCATTCTTCAGATTTTCCTAAATTCTTTCAAACAAGCAACATCTGTGTTCAGCAAGCCCTGAGCCCCATACCTCTTGCTAAGTTGCCCCAGGCCCAGCACTAGCAGTAGCCAACCTTGGTTCACAGCATGGCCTTGTCTGGGCACCTACAAGCCCAGCACAACCAGCAGTCATCTATGTATCATTCTGTAGCTTATTCTGTGTGACCCTGGACAAAAAACAGTTAGTGGCTGACCATGGATGTACCAACAGTAATCAAGGCTTAACTACAAAAGGAGACTGTACACAGCTCACAGAGTGGGTGCATCCTGAGTACCCAGCTTGGGTAATAGAAAAGGCTGTGCCACTGGACCCTACAGCACACCAACATTAGGCCATGTTACCAACCCTGGAAGAGGCAGCAGCTCTACCTAATACATAGAAACAAACACAGGGAGGTTTTGAAAATGAGGAAACAAAGAAACATGGCCCAAATGAAAGAACAGAACAAAACTCCAGAAAAAGAGCTAACAAAATGGAGACAAACAATCTACTATATGCAGAAACACTGGTTATAAGGATGCTGAAGGAACTCAGTGGGGACCTCAACAGCATTAAAAAAATCCAATCAGAAAAGGATACACTAATTGAAATAAAGAACAATTTACAAGGAATCAACAGTAGAATGGATGAAGCCAAGAATCAAACCAACAATTTGGGATATAAAGAAGCAAATCCAAACAGCAAGAAGAAAAAAGAATATAAAAAAATGAGAATAGTGTAAGAAGCCTCTGAGACAACGTTCAGCACACTAAAATTTGCATCATGGAAGTGTCAGAAGGGAAAGAGAAAGAACAAGAAATTGGAAACCTATTTGAAAAAAAATGACAGAAAACTCCCTTAAGTTGAAGGAAATAAACACACAAATCCAGGAGGGATAGAGAGTCTCAAACAAGATAAACCCAAAGAGATCCACTCCACGACTCATCACAATTAAAATGCCAAACAAGAGAGGTTAAACGAGACCCTTAAAAGCAACAAGAGAAAATCAGTTAGTTACCAACAAAGGAGCTCCCATAACACCGTCAACTGAAATAACAATCTAATTTTAAGTGACTCAGCAGTAAAGTTTTCATAACTCTTCCAGACAGAATTCTTTAAAATTGTTTCTTAATACTAATGATCTCTTTCCAAGTTTCATTTCATCCTTGACTACCCTGGGAATTTCTAAAACTTGAGTATAATTACACAAAGACAGGCTTTAAGAGCTAATTTGAAAATAAGAATAAAAAAAGGCAGGATTTCAAACTAAGCTCAAATTTTAATTTAACACAAAGTATTATTCATGACAATTTTTCTAAGATAAAATGAAGTACTCTTCAAAAAAGAAAAACTCCACTTTAGAAATGTTAAACATTTATTCATTTTCTTACTGGGAGCATTTGTCCTGGTTGTAATAAGAATATGCACAAATAACCATACTTTTTGATTTCTAAATATTAACAGCCCAAAATTCAAAGTGACCCCCCATACAGATCAGGTACTATTGTAAAATAAATTATTTTAATTACAAAGTACTAGTACCAATATATATCTAAGAAATGTATTACCATTTATCTGTAATAACAAACAAGTGTTTTGATACTTTTATTGTAAAAACTGAGTCTTGAATAAAGGCAGTTTAGAAGGACTATGGTTCAGAAAATAATTTGAATTAAGCAGTCCTTTAACTTAAACTAAAATCATGGAAGAATAAAATGTGAAGTGAATATTTTTCTGTGATATATAATACATAAATATTTTCATGTAAACAAAAGATGAAAAAATTAAATATCTTTGTTAGCAACCAACATACACAGGTTTAAAAGGTTATTTTATTTTCTTCATGCTTCCATTGAACACGACTGGTATAAGCAGAGCAACAGGAATTAGATGAACCTTCACATTCCCCTCATACCCCCCAGTAGGTCACATACAATAAAGATCTCTGTCTCAGAGAAAAGAAGATACTAGGGGAATTAGACTCCAGAAAGTCATGACTTTCAAGTATTAAGTCACTCTTTTTGCTCTACCGTGAAACAAGATCGGTTGACCAGAATTTTGCCAGATGAGGAAGGTACAGCTAATACTGGTGAGATCCAGCACTAACACGTGTGGCAGCACATTAGGCTCAATGACAAGTAGATTCTCCTCTTAATGTGGGTTACCCATGCACTGGAAGACAATGGCTTCCAACACAAAACAGACAATGTTGAAGTGGGTATATTTTCAATAGAAGCGTTTCTTGAAGCATGCCCCAGGGACCACCTGTGTCAGAATCAGCAAGCACAGTGCTCAACAAAACAAAAGCATGCATTCCTGGGCCCAATCCCAGATCCTCTGGGGGTCCTGGGCAGCTGCACTGTTGACACCCCCCTGGGAACACTTAGACACATATTCATATTGAAGTTTACATATCACTACTGCAGACTATTAGGGATTTCTTTTGACCACAAATATTTCACCGTCTTTCATGCTTCTTACCTACTGACCAGAAAAAAAAAAATAAAAGCAAAGCATTTCTGATTATGTCAGTCAGTGGCAATAATTAGTAGTGGTATTTATTTTCCCCTCAAGAAAATATAGGGGAATAGGCAACATATGAGTCTGCACCTAAATTTTTCAAAGGTACTCCAGAGTACTTTTTAAAAAGCTTTCAAAATCTATACATAATAAAAAACGCTCAAAATGATTTGTAAACTGTCATCTGATCAAGATTATCCAGTGTAAAGAGAGCTGCTGGTCCTTGTCACCGAATTCGCACAAAGCCTCCTTTCTTCTGTTTTCTTTCACAAACACAGTGCATCTCAGCAGGCACTCCAGGGCTCTCACTGAATGATAACACTGCCTACAAGGCCGCACAAAAGTACCTAAGAATTGCTCATAAAAAATGACAAAAGACGACAAAAGCTCAGTTTCAGCTCCAACCTAGAAGGAGTCTCAAGGCCTACCACCAATATATAAGATGAATACAGAGCATGCTAACTTTCCTTAGAGAAAGTCTAAGGAAATGTACTTAATGTCTGCTTGAAATCCAGTTTATATTGAAAATGGAAAGTAGATACCCTTCTACATGCTGCTAGTATTTACCATAGTGTTTGTGTACTATAAGATACTTACAGACACAAAATTTTTACCTGTGAAGAACTTAGGCAGAAACCAGAGGTAAGTGACTATCATCAGATGATTTCAAAACAACATGTTAAAATAACATGCTTGAGTCCAAAAAAAGCTCTTTAACTGGAGAATGAGTTCCGACACTGTTTCGATTGCAACAGCAAGGTTTCCCAGGTCTTTTGTGATGTGATCCACCTGCCAAAGTCCTAACCTCTGATGACACTGTGCCACATGCTCTTCAGATGCTCGCTGTTCAGAAATAGCTAGTAAAATAAAGAGTAAAGAAGTAATGCTGGAACCAAAGAGTGAAGCTGTCCTCAACTGGGTTCTCCAAAAATCTCCACTCTCACATGGAGGAAAGCATAGTACAGTTGGACCAGACCTTACATCCGTTTAATCCAGCTCTCTGGCTGTATAACTGAGGAACAGAGGCCCATTTTCCCCACTGGTTCACAAAGCACTAAAATTCAGAAAAGATGCTATAAGTCCGTAAGTGTTCATGGTTAACTTACTTATTTATAAAGCCCATGATGTAGCCAAGAGGCTACACTTTCAACCCTTACATACAGCCTTAGCCTGAAGCCCCATCCCTGTCAGCTACTTTACAGACCATATCAGTGGTTTAAGAGAGAAAGGGACCAAAGAAAGGGTCTGGATCACCTTGGGGGTCAGATCACAAGCAAGAAAATAATCACCTGAAACCCCAGATCTGCCCTATTACAACTTGCTCTACGCCCACAGTGGGGCTTAGATTTGCTTCTTGGTGGCAGACTCGCCTCTGAACACATTCCCAGACTCCAGCGCTGCTGGGGCAAGCACAGGTAACACTGCAGTTCTGGAAGCCCCAGAACATTCAGAAACAGCTGAAACCTGGAACAACTGGAAACCTCCAACCCTGCAAGGCCAGGACCTTCGCACAGCTGCATTTCACCTCTCTGTAATTGTTAAGTCTCTCGTTTTGTAAACCAAAAAATCACCTTATTTCCTGATAGCCTCCTTTAGCTAAGATTTTAAAGTTCCACTATGAAAGGGAGATTGGGAGTGATTTTATTTCATTTTATATTCCCCAGACTTTCTTACAATAGTTTCAACATTTCTTTTGGTAATTAAAAAGTAGAGTTATCTTTAAAAGGTTGTATAGTCTTAAAAAATAAAAGGACATACTAAGTTCCCCCTGGCTCTGCAGCACCCATACCTGAATGATGCGTGAAACAGCACCACCCCAGGACTCGGTAAATTTGTTTTGGATTGCAGCTCCACCATTAACCTTGGGCAGAATTTTAGTCTCTGAGACTTGCTTTCTTCACCTTAAAAAAGAAATAATACCTACCTCACAGGATGCTGTGAGGATAAAAAAATGCACAGTGCCTGGCACATGGTAAGTGTCCAGTAAGCGGTAGGGCCTGCTGGACTCAGTGAGAACCCTTGAGTAAAAGAATCCCCTCAGCCCACAGCAGCCGCCCCTCACTGCATCCCATTTAAATCTGCAAGGGTGCTGTCTCCTTAACTTTGCCCTATTACTCTGAAGAATCGCTATTGTGCTTAGAAAAATTTCTACATTTCTGTTCTCTCCTTTAAAACTGCACATGCATATGAAAAATTTTTTAAAAACTATCTCCTTAGAAATGATAATGCAATGTTTCCTAAAGTACAACATGTCATGTATAAAAACAAATTCTGAAAAACACGATTGAATTAGTTTGTACATTGTTTCTTAAAGTGCACCAAAGCAAATATTAATGACCTTCAAAATGTCACTAACCCCCTTGGGGTTTTTAAAATAAAAGTAAATGTTTATCCACTGAGATGTATGTGGTTTTTGGCTCCAATATGATGGCAGAAAGCAGCAGTGTCTTCCAGAAGAAAAAGAATTAATAAACTCAACTAAGAACACCTGAGCAGCATACCAAACACCTACAATTCAGTGTAACTGCAGGCTCAATGAAGCACAATCCTGATTCCTACCTCCAAAACTAAGCCAACCAAAGAAACAAAAACCATCTCCCCACCCTGAATCAAGGATTTCTCTTGAATTCTGGAGGTAACATTGGTGATCACTTCCCTTTTGTGTATCCTTGGTAACAGATTTATAACTGGTCACCATTCCTTCTTTATACTGTGCACACACACACTTACACACAAACCTATGAAAAACAGTAACGTGTAAGTGGAACAGCCACGTGAAAGAAAATTCAGAGTCAGATAAAGAACCACCATCACCCAAAACATCAGGCAGTTCCAACATTCACACCACCGTCCGATGCTCCCCACACACATAGACGGCACTGGGGCGTATCCGGCGCCTCGTGTGGCCAGGGAGACGCGGCAAAAACTTGAAAGACTTGGGCATCATGTCCAGGCAGGCATCGTGGAATTTCTTAATCCTCCAGTAGTAAATCAGTGGGTTCAATGCAGACTTGAGGTAGCAGAGCCAAAGCAGCCAGGTGCTAATCTCAAAAAAGTTGTGCTTATAGTAAAAGTGCTTACTGAATGTTGCCACAAGGCTGTAGGTGGTGAACGGGGCCCAGCAGATGATGAAGACAGCAAAGAGAATCAAAATGGTTGTGAAGGCACGTGTTTTAAAGCCCATGTCGATGCTCATCTGGAAGGGCCTCTGTAGACTCATGAGACCCAGTTTGCTGGCCTGGCTGAGGCATATACCCTCAGGGTAGCTATGGATCCTCAAGGCATTGTGCCGAAGAGTGTTGAGTATGCCCATAAACGAGTAGAGTATCACCAGGAAGGGTATGAAGAATGAAGTAAGAGAAATCAAAATCACATAAGCCTGGTATCCGGGATCGGCTGAGTATCCAAACACGCACTGTGGGGCTCGGGAAGGTATCTGCAGATCAGGGTTTCCGACGGCCAAAGGGAAGGCTATACAAAAGGAAGTTGCCCAAGATACGGCAATCAGAACCTTAGCCCTATATGGATTTAGCTTGTCCTGCCTCTGGACTATAATAAGGAACCTATCAATGCTGATGATGAGCAGGATGGCTACTCCCTCAATCACAAATAACCAGAAAAACATAGCAGATACCCTACAAAAGAACTTCCCAAAAATCCATCTGGTAGTAAGAATAGTTACCAAAGCAAAGGGCATGTTCAGCACTGCCAGCAACATGTCTGCAAATGCCAGGCTGGCAAGGAGGATGTTAATGGCAGATCGCATGGCAGCTTTTTGGTAAACCATGAGGCAAACCACCAAGTTCCCAAGAAAAGACACAAACAGAATAAATATCATTATAGCAGAAAGAATGATTTGGAGGGGCAAGTTCAGGCTCTTATAAACGGCTGGTGTTGGGGGTACAGCTGTGCTATTCACCGTCAAGGAACTCATCCCCGTGGGAGCCATGGTTTCAGAATTGTATCTCAGCAGCGGACCAATGCCAGGATGCTGGAATGGTGCAGGCACCGTAACATTCGAGTAGGTGTTTTCATAGACTACAAACGTGGTGTTGGTTGCCCCAGTGTGGGATGCCGTCAACACTGCAGAGAAGACCATGGTTGCAGTAGGATGGAAGGCGTCGGCAGGTCAGTGGGTGTTCTTCAAGCATCTCAACACCAAGCAGCACTATCACGTTTCACTGATGGGCTTGGGAACACATTCTGGAAAATAAACAAACACGTCCATCTTCCACAGGAGCCCTTTTGCCTGAAAATAAGCCCAAAACACAGAAAGTAAATGAGAAATGAGGTTTGTAAATAACTTTTGACTTCTTGCCTTTCATCATGAAGGATCAGGTTAGCTTTTTTTAACCCTTTAAAAATATATACATCTCTAGCAAAGGCAGTACCAAAACACTGCTGCTCTGTCGTTTTATTTTTAGTCAACCATGGCTGAAATTTCACATTTGAGGTGAAAGTGAAAAGAACCAAAACATATTATTGCTTCAAAGTCAAAAGTTACAACCTTATTTTTAATTATTCTTTTAAATTTCTACCATTTTTGTGATGTGGATTCTTCCTTCTTTATTGCAGAGATAACCTTTTTCATTAGAAAGAATTCTCTTTGGATTTCTGGGTAGATTCCTTTACTAAATCCCAAAGATTGGGAGGAAATAAATGTATGGGAGCTTAACTTGCTCATTATTTGGACTTAGAATTAGTCACTAATTTTAGGGGTAAACTCCAAAAGTTCATTTATTCATTTCCTGGGGTAGGGCGGGTGGAGGCACCCCATTTGGCAGGCCCAAGATCCAGCCCTATAGCCAAATCATGGAATGTCTATCATACTGGTATCTCTCTATAATCACCTCTGTTGTCAGGGATGCCTTTATGAATAAGGAGAATGATCCGCTTGTTCAAAGTATTAATTTTACTAGTTATTCTCGATTAACTAACTCAATTTCTTTGTCCCTACTAGATGTTACCCATCTTCACATTTTCACTTTGAAAAGCAAAGTGGATGAGATGCCATACTGAGGCAGTGATCTCAGACTTTATTAACCACAAAGGGCCCATGATTAGGGGGCTGTGGTAGTTAGAAAGCCATGCACCATAATCTCTTTAGAACTACCTAAATATATGTATGAATAAGAATAAAGACTATGCTTGCTACATACATCAGACTCAATACAAGTCTATCTACAGAGAAAAATTATAAATGGTCGGCTCTGGCTGGCATAACTCAGTAGATTGAGCGCGGGCTGTGAACCAAAGTGTTGTAGGTTCGATTCCCAGCCAGGGTACATGCCTGGGTTGCAGGCCATAACCCCCAGCAACCGCACATTGATGTTTCTCTCTCCCTCTCTCTTTCTCCCTCCCTTCCCTCTCTAAAAATAAATAAATAAAATCTTTAAAAAATTATAAATGGTCACATGTTATGTCTTAAGCATAATGTAACAGCTATTAATTGTTCTTGACCAAGTAAACAAACATATATCCACCCTGAAATAGTTAACACTTTGTTGTGTATTAAAATATAATTGGCATACATTAATTTCATTTTGGATATATAATGATTTGATACTTGTACACACTGTAAAATGATTACCACGGTAAGTCTAGTCAACATCTGTCATCATACTTAGTTAAAATTATTCTTACTGTGATGAGAACTTTTAAGACCTTAGCAACTTTCAAATATACAATACAATGTTATTAACTATAATCACCTGCTGTATATTCTATCCCCATGACATTTATTTTGTAACTGGAAGTCTGTACATTCTGATTCCCTTGATCCATTTTGTCCACCTCCTATCCCCCCACCTCCGGAAACCACCAATCTATTCTCTGTATCTATAAGCTTGGTTTTCTTATTTTGTTTTGTTTAGATCCCACATATAAGTAAAATTATACTATACTTTTTTTTATCATCTCACTTATTTCACTTACTATAATGCCCTCAAGATCCACCCATGTTGTTACAAATAGCAAGATTTCATTTTTTATATGGTTGAATATTCCATTGTGTGTACATATATACATATACATTCATACATACATACAAATACAGGTATGTATATACCACATTTTCTTTATCCACTCATCCACTGACGAACACTTAGGTTGTTTCCATATCTTGGCTATTGTGAATAATGCTGAAATGGACATGGGGCTGCAGATATCTTTTCAAGTCACACTGCTCTTTTCTTTGGAGAAATGTACGGAAGTAGAATTGGTGGGTCATATTATAGTTCTCTTTTGAATTTTTGGAAGAACCTCCATACTGTTTTCCACAGTGGCTGTTCCAATTTACAGACCCCTTTTCTCCACATCCTCGCCAACAATTTTTTTCACTTTTATAGCAGTCATTCTAACAGGTGTGAGGTGGTGTCTCATTGTGGTTTTCCTTTGCATTTCCCTGATGATTAGTGATGTTGAGCATCTTTTCATGTACCTATTCACCATCTGTATGACCTCTTTGGAAAAATGTCTATTCAGATCTGCCCATCTTTAATTGGCTTATTTGGGGTTTTTTTTAGTATTGAATTGTATGAGTTATTATATAAAATGGATATTAACCTCTTATCAGATATATGATTTACAAATATTTTATCCCACTCAGGATGTTGCCTTTTCATTTTGTTGATGGACACACATTAAAACATTCAGTTTCCTGGGCCAGCTTGAGAAACAAAATAAAAAATTGGGATGAAGCTAAAGCAAAACCACATTTAAAAGATGCTTTTTAGGTTATTATATATACATATATAACCATAATATTTTTCTGCTATCAAAGCCTCCTTTACTATAAAAAGTTCTAATGCAATTGATTCGATTACTCATTTATCAAATATTTATTTCATAACCTAGTATGTGCCAAGCACTAGAGAGACAGCAATAAACAAATGGTTCCTGGATTTCTGGTTAAACAGGGCAGACTAACCATAAACCCTGCATCTCAAAATCACACTAAAATGACAGTAGAGGGATTTTTTTAAAAACAAAAATTACAACACAAAAGGACAAAAGATAAGAATGAAAGACAAATCAATAGACGGGGACTTTTTTTTTTAAGCAAAAAGCAAATGGTAATGTGGTAAGTGACTGAACAAACCCAAACAGAGGACTCCTTACCCTCAACACCTCCAGGGAAATAGGCTTAGAAGAAGCTGACACACCATATAGATCTCCCCAGAAGCTTTGGATTGAGAAGTACCCATTAAATAAGACAGGTATCGCACACAAAGTCGTGCCTATATATTTTTGCCTACAACAAGCCCTTGCTTCATGTCCAGGAATTCTGGTTAGAAAAGGAGAATGCCAGACAAAGAACACATTAGGACGGAGGGGAGTATACTCCTGAGTTCTCCTATGAGGTAGATGGATCCTGAAATAAAGAGCAAGCAAGGCATTTCATCTCAGAGGTAACCCGAATTTCAACTTTATTTCATTAAAAATAAAACAAAAAGCAATCACTTTCAGGGGGCAATCTGCTTTAAAATTAAAAGGAAGAGTCTACAAATAAATTTATATCACAACAGAAATGTTTACTTTTTGGGAGCTGAATTGTTTGGTTTTCTTGAGGGGTTTTGGTTTTTTTTTTTTGGTTTACCTATAGGTAAAGTAAAAGAAAGCTTTGAACAAACTAACCAAAAAAGAATATGTAACAATTAAGTGCAATGGATGAGGTGGGGAGGGGTCCATTTAAAGTTATTTTTACAAAGAGATCATCACTGCACTAAAATTTCACTTATTTTCAAGGTATATCTAACTTAAACCCTACCTGCAATAAAACTAAAGGGAAAAATGCTATGGGTACATTTTAAGGATGAACCTTAGGCAGTGTTCTATTTATACCACTGTTCCATTTCTGATATATTTCTAATTCCTACCAGAATGTTTATCACACACAAAAAAGAATGTTTCTCATTTTCTTATGAAGAAACATTTAGTTCTTCCATGGACATGTTTAAAATAGATTATTAAGCATGAGGATTTATTTGCATTCATGTTACCTTTTCTCCACAAATAATAAGCAGAAATGAAACCAAATGTCAGCGAGAGCTATTTCAAGGAAAATATTCTAAGTGATTTCTGATGACAATTAAAACTGAAAGTCAAGTGGCAAAACAGGTCAACACTTAGTAGAAAAATATATTAATTATAATTAAAGTCCAGGAAAAATTTTAAGTGGCTAATAGAAGATTAGCCTTCTGGAACCTTTCTAGAAATACAAAAAGAAAAAAAACCTGATGAGCCCCACGGGTGACAGGTTTCATTAATATCCCTTTTGTCTCCTATTCGCATTTTTATTTTTGGGCTTACATTCATTAGATCATTGTTCTGCTGAGAATCTTTACCTCCCTTGAAACTATTATTGGGAAAAATGCAGGCCATCTTCATTTCATCAGCCTTTTTCAATAGTTCACAGATATATTACTTCCCTGCCATGGATGTTCTCACAATGATATTTGACTGTAAATTCAGTATTTGGAATGAAACATCAAGTCTAATTAGATCATGAACCTGGAATCTTAAAACAAATCATAAGCCTGCTGAGATCTATAACTGCTGTGTCAAAGCTTGAATATCTTCTGTTATCACCTATGAACCATCTGCATAGGGCAAGGATGAAAAATTTTGTTTTGTGTTTTACACCTAAGGAAGTACCTGGCACATGAGTTTCGATGGCCCCAAAGCGCACTTCTGAGTTCCAGCCTCATGGACCCAACACTCATTTAACATCTCCACGAGGATATCTCAAAAGCACCTCCAACTCCGCATGTCCAAATTAAACTTAGGGGATAGCCCCTGCCCCCTCTAAGCTACCCTGCACTAGTATTTCCATGCTCCGAGACTGGATCACCACCCACCTGGTTTTACAAGCCAGAAACCTAACAGTCACTTTCTCATCTTCCTCCCTCAGCTATAGTTGACCCCATCCTCCAAGAACTGTACATTTTAACTCCTAAACATTTTTCCTATCAGGCCACTTCTCTCCAACCATCTACATCATCCTGTCCAAACTACCAACAACTCTCATAAGGTGGAAATTTTTGCCTGGGCTCTTCACAATTGGATTCCCAACATCTACTACAACTGTGCCTGCCACAAAGTTGACATTCAGTAAACATTTGTTCAATGAAAAAAACGCCTCCTGCTAATTATTCACCCATCCTTATTCCCTGTTCACTTTGTGAATTCTTACTTTTCCATTCCTATGGGAATCTTCCCTGGTCCGCTGACCAAGCCAATCCCCACCCC